AAGAAGACAATGCCTCCATAAGATCTCCATAAGATTAGACTGAAAGCTAGGCTGTAGGACATTTTCTTAATTAGTGATTGATGCGGGAGGGCCATTGTGTGCAGTGCCACCCCTGGACGGGTGGTTCTGGGTTCTATAAGAAAACAGGCTGAGGAAGTCATGGAGAACAAGCCAGTAAGCAGCACCCTCCATGCCTCTTACCAGCTCCTGCCTCCAGGTCCCTGCCACGCTTGACTTTCTGTCCTGAATTCCTTCCGTGAAAGTATAAGCCAACTAAATAAACCCCTTCCTCTCAAACTTGTTTTTTTTTTTTTTTTTTTTTTTTTTTTTTTTTTTTTTTTTTGGCCGTGGCGTTTCATTGCAGCAATAGAAACCCTAAGACAGCTACCCATTGTATTTCAGAACAACCTGGATTGCAGAGTGGGATCCTGTCTCTCTGGGTAGGTCTGGTGAACAAGACTCTCAAAGGATCAGGACCACAGGCTTGCAAAGAGCTTTTCCAGCTCCCTACGTGTCACAGACTTTTGATCTATGTTAACCTGATGCTTTTTTACATCCTGTAAAGTTGTCTCTCATCCTTGAACTGCCTCTGCCTAACCCTGTCCCCAGCAGATTTCCACTGGACCACTACAGTCTCCAGCCCTGGCTTCCATTTCCAGTGCTGGGATTTCCCTCTGCTTACTAGGGACAAGTCACTTGTTATTTCTGAGACTCAGCTCTCTCCTCTACAAACTAGGAGATATTATTTCTATCTTCTACACGCATTGTAAGGATTACAGGAAAGAGCCACAGCTAGTGGTCCATAATAAGTAGCTGGCAGGTGCTAATTTCCAACGGCTTTCACTGCAGTTCCTTCCCTAGCTCTTGGGGGCCTCTGCAGGAAATCAGATCTTCAGGGTTCCTGGAGCGGATTAGTTTGAGTGCCACTTAATCCTGGTCATTCTTCCGCAATCTGAGCCGTGAAAGGACAGGGCTGGTATAGTTCTACAACCTGAATCCTGATAGGGACAGGCTTGATATAAATCCATGGAAGCGGCCAGGTTCACAGGTAATGCAGGATGGAGTTCCAGGCTGAAGCCAAGCTGCTGCTGCTGCAGCTGCTGTGGGTGACATGCTGTGGACACACACATATAAGAGTGGAACGATATGCATCCATCATTGATGTGACCAACGGCGGGACCTGGGGTGACTGGACCTGGCCTGAGATGTGTCCTGATGGATACTTTGCCAGTGGGTTCTCCATCAAGGTGAAGGTTCAGATCTGGGTCATAAAGGACAGAGATAGGATGGATTGCAGAGCTGAAAATGGCAATCCCCTCACTGAACCTCACTTCCTCTCTCTTCCTCACCCAGGTGGAGCCCCCTCAAGGCATTCCTGGAGATGACACAGCTCTGAACGGGATCCGACTGCACTGTACTCGAGGGAATGCAGAGCAAAACACGCATGTTGTGGAGTCCCAATCTGGAAGGTAGGAATTCGGTACCCGCTCCCCCTCCCCCCAAAAAAAGTGTGATAGAGTATTCATCTAGTGTGTGTAAAGCTCTAGGTTCAATTCCCAATGAGAAGGGCACTCTCCTAGCGCAAAAGGACGCCCCTTCCCAAGGTAAACTCTGTTATAGTTTCAGAGGAGTGGGATGGAAGCCTCCCCTCTGCACTCGGGAAACACAGGCGATTAGATCCAATCTATCCGGTACTGGTAGGGCTTGGTTTGGCAGTCCCCAGGTGGGTAGGAGGTGCTCACAGAGCCAATTAGAAGTCTCCTTCTCTTGCAGTTGGGGCTCGTGGAGCGAGCCTCTGTGGTGTCCCGGCACGCACTTCCTAGTGGCATTCTCTCTTCGGGTGGAGCCGTTTTCATTTCCTGGGGACAACACTGCGGTGAACAACGTACGCTTCCGTTGCTCAGACGGTGTGGAGCTGGAGGGGCCTGGGCTGAGCTGGGGAGATTATGGAGATTGGAGCGACTCCTGTGTCAAAGGTGTCTGTGGCTTGCAGACCAAAATCCAGAAGCCTCGAGGGCCGCGTGATGACACTGCACTTAATGACGTCAGGATATTCTGCTGTAACAGCTGACGCTGTTGCCGCTGCCCACTCTCCCACTGGACCCTGCCAGTACTGTGCCTCTTACTATTAAAGCTTCTTGGTCTTGGTCTTTGCTGTCACTTGATTTAGAAACGAGAGAAGCTGCCTCCTTGCTTCTTCCTTGACTCTGCAAAGCTCAAGACCTGTGTTCAGGTTTGGCTTCAGGGGTTGGAGGTCACATAGTTCGGAATGAAGAACTTAAACACATAACTGTTTTGGCCCTGGCTTTCTGAGGACACTTGTAGATACTAGGTTCCCTTTAAGAGCCCAAGCTGTCTCCTTCTGAATCATCAGTGACTTCAGATTCAGGAGCGGGATGGAAGACCCCCACCTCTGTACATGGGGAAACTCGGTGATTAGACCCAATCTATTCCTTTTTTTTTTTATTTTTTTATTTTATGTGCATTGGTGTGAAGGTGTCAGATCCCCTGCAACTGGATCTTCAGACAGTTGTGAGCTGCCATGTGGGTGCTGGGAATTGAACTCAGGACCTCTGGAAGAGCAGTCAGTGCTCTTAACCACTGAGCCATCTCTCCAGCCCTCCATACCCCCCCCCCCAATCTATTCCTTATTGGTAGCTCCTGGTTAGGAAGTCCAGGTTTGAGTTGTCCAGGAGGGGTGTGCATCAGGAGTGGAAGTCCCCCAGGTTTGAGTTGTCTAGAAGGGGTGTGCATCAGGTGTGGAAGTCCCCGGGTTTGAGTTGTCCAGGAGGGGTGTGCATCAGGTTTGAGTTGACCAGGAGGGGTGTGCATCAGGAGTGGAAGTCCCCCAGGTTTGAGTTGTCCAGGAGGGGTGTGCATCAGGTGTGGAAGTCCCCGGGTTTGAGTTGTCCAGGAGGGGCGTGCATCTGGTTTGAGTTGACCAGGAGGGGCGTGCATCAGGTGTGGAAGTCCCCAGGTTTGAGTTGTCCAGGAGGGGCGTGCATCAGGTGTGGAAGTCCCCAGGTTTGAGTTGTCCAGGAGGGGTGTGCATCAGGTGTGGAAGTCCCCGGGTTTGAGTTGTCCAGGAGGGGTGTGCATCAGGTTTGAGTTGACCAGGAGGGGCGTGCATCAGGTGTGGAAGTCCCCAGGTTTGAGTTGTCCAGGAGGGGTGTGCATCAGGTGTGGAAGTCCCCGGGTTTGAGTTGTCCAGGAGGGGCGTGCATCAGGTGTGGAAGTCCCCGGGTTTGAGTTGTCCAGGAGGGGCGTGCATCAGGTGTGGAAGTCCCCAGGTGGATAGGAGGTGTCCAGGTGGAGTGTGCATCAGGTGTGGAAGTCCCCAGGTGGATAGGAGGTGTCCAGGTGGAGTGTGCATCAGGTGTGGAAGTCCCCAGGTGGATAGGAGGTGTCCAGGTGGAGTGTGCATCAGGTGTGGAAGTCCCCAGGTGGATAGGAGGTGTCCATAGAGCCAGTGCAACTAATCGGACGACAATGCAGATGGCTTTCCACTTTAATTTTCTAGAACTTTGAGACTAAAGAATCTTTCCCCGTAGTTTCTAAGCCCCTTCCTACCTTGGCCCTTACCATGCAAATTCCAAATAGGGGCCTTTCTAGACAGAGAGGGTCATCAAAGACTTTGTCTTTCCATGCCGTTCTCTCTGTCTGCATTCTCCCAGGAGGGAGTCCATATTCAGAATTGGATGTTCCTTGTGACAATCAATGTTTATCTCATTACCAACATGTTTTTAAAAATGTTTACTGAGGGGGCTGGAGAGATGGCTCAGTGGTTAAGAGCACTGACTGTTCTTCCAAAGGTCCTGAGTTCAATTCCCAGCAACTACATGGTGGCTAACAACCATCCGTAAGGAGATCTGGTGCCCACATGCAAAACAGAATACTGACAATACTGTATACATAATAAATAAATAAATCTTTAAAAAAATGTTTACTGAATGAAAACGGAAGGGCATGACTGCTCCTGGGTACAGTAGAGGAGAGGCTTACTGTAGGTAAAAGGGAGGGCATAGCCAGAGACAGGGACATCTGGGAGAGTCCAGAATGAGCATGCCCCTGAGCTGGGCCTCAGGAAGAGTGGGGAGGGGAGAAGAGAGGGTGAAGAGCCAGACCAAGAGGCCAGGAGGGCAAAGGGTAGATGGAAAAGGGCAGGTAACCAAAATGGCTGGATTGTATAGGGAAAGGGAGCTGGGGAAGGGGAGCCCAGCCCCTGGGCTGGAGAAGTTTAGGGTGGGTAGTCACACCCTGTAGAGGTAGAAACTGCTCCGACGAAGCTGGCACCCACTCTGATATGTTAAAAGGCCTCTCAGTTATCTGTACAGTTGAGACCTAACACTCGCCAGCAACTGAAGTAATCCTTCACTTATTTAAAAAGAAATGTTTGGCCATGTATGGTGGCACATACCTTTAATCCCAGCACTAGGGAGGCAGAGGCAGGCCATTTCTGTGAGTTCGAGGCCAGCCTGGGCTACACCAAGAAACCCTGTCTTGGGGATGGGTGGGGGGAGAAATTGCCAATGGCTGGTTGTAAGAGAAGCAGACAGAAGCTATAGACATGCGCGTATACATGCATGTGTGTGCATATGCGTGTGTGTGCACATGTGTTGCGTGTGTGAGCATGTGTGAGCGTGTGTGTAGTTTGACTGCAAGCAGGGTGTGTTGTTTTCACCTGAGAATATTTTGTTTCTGCAAGTGAAGTGGAAGGGTTAGGCTGGGACTAAGCTGTTCTTTATGGCTTAGAGCTACTTGCCCAGTATGCCTGACTCAATTCCTCATGACCTCACGACCTGAGGCTATTACCCAACAGTGGGAAGGAGTGAAGTGGGGGCTCAGTTGGTAAAGGTGCTTGGTGCAAAGTCAGAGGACCTGAGTTTGATCCCCAGGACACACATGGTGTGAGAGCCAACTCCAACTCCTACATTATCCTCTGACATACACGTGCGCGCACACACACACATAAATGTAAAGAAAATTAAATTAAAAATTGCTCATCTTTCATCACTGGCACCTTGAGAGCACAGTATTTTATTTCCAGAACAGTAACTATTTGTTAAGAAAATAAGAAGCCGGGAGTCGGGTACAAACAGAAAAACTGGTCTAGCTACATCTGCAGGCACTCCTTCCAAAGCTAAAGCAGAATTGGGAAAGGGTGCTCAGGCCAGCTTATACCACAAAGGAGGAAATTGAGCAATAAAAGTATTTTATTCCAGGTAAGCGGAGGGTGGGTAGTCCACTAAGACTTCTGGAAATGAGGTATTCACGGGAGCCCACGGAACTCACTAAGCTGTGTCCTGCAAGAAAAAAGAGTAAAGATGCAGCGAGAGCAAACAGGATCCCCTCAGCTCCGCTCCACGCCCTGCCCTCTCACCTTCTTCCGGCAGTCGCCACAGAATATGCCCAAGGTTGCGTTCACCACCTGTATTCCACACAGCACTACTTCCAGACTTGAGGCGACCACCAGCAGAGAGAAGAGTGTCACGTTCCAGGGTACCACCTTAGGCGGCTTCTCACATAGATCCCATAGAGTGTCATTGCGCAAGTAAGAGCCTCTGTGGATGGACAGGGTCGTTTAGGAGAGTCTGATCACACAGCAGGCCCTACCACCACCCAGGGCAAGGGTCTACTAAGATTTGCAAAATTCGATGGGTCACGCGGAAGGACCGGTCTTTCTAGAAGCTCGGTCTGGTCCATCATCTCTGGACCAGGTAGGAAGGCAGGTGCGGAGAGGCACAGAATGGGGATGATATAAACACGGAGCAGGACTTACTGGGTTTCTAGGAAGTGGTAGTCCCACACGTTGTCTATTAAGCATTTGGGTCCGATTCGAAGCCCCGCTCCTGACACCGAGAGGCAGTAGAGGCCACCAAGTATCCCAAAGGCAGAGGAGAACACGGAGCGAAACATCTAGATCCAGTGTGGAAAGGTAAACTAAGTAGGCCTGCCTCCTCCCTTGGACGGCCACTCGTGCCCTGTTCCTCTCGCAAATGTCAGCACTTCTGTCCAGCTGCCTAAAGCTACGTTTCCTTTTTATTTATTTATTTATCTATTTATTTATTTATTTAGAATATTTTTGAATCAGTCTTGGAACTTGGCCAGTTGTAGACCAGACTGGCCTTGAACTCACAGAGATCCTGCCTGCCTCTGCTTCCCAAGTGCTGGGATTAAAGGCATGCACCACCACCGCTGCACTGCGGGTTTGAGGCTAGGCGAATCCTAAAAGTCCTCTACTGCAGAGGTTCATGGGGCTTCTATGACCCGCTGGTCAGGTTCATTTGAGACCCAGGACTGGGAGTGAGGTAGCACCTGAGACCTCATAGAGGTTGTCTGCCGATGATGGTGCTGGGGTTCGATGGGGAAGGAGTCAGAAACCAAACGTCCTAATTTGGTTCTTACCCTGCAGCGGTTCCCACAGCAACCTGCACCACAGCAGCCCTTCCCCCCTGCGCGGACGGCCGCGATTCCTGGACACAGCGCCTGTGGGATGAGAGTTGGTGGTGACAGCAGGTTCTCCCAGGTTCCCAAGGCTGTGCTTGCCTTGTCCATGTCCTCGCGAAGCTGCCCACGATGCCTTCAGCTCTTTGAACTGCAAAACCTTATCTGTACCTCTCTGGGTCAGTGTTGCACTCAACCTTAATTTATCATTATTCATACGCCCGTCTTATCTCTCTCCAGATTGTAGCTTCCTGGAGGGTTAGGTCCAATATATTACACCTATCTTAGACAAAAGATCGCCATCAAACGTTTGGGTGAGGAGGTGGCAATATTATATCCTCCACATCCATATTGTCGCAGGGTGGGTGCCTGCTGGATGGGAGGCAGGACCTCCATCCCACTCTCTGAACTGATTGTTTTCTCAGGATACCCGTTTGTCACTTGTGAAGTGGATCTGCAAGATCTGTCTCAACAGACTCTTCTCAGGACTGACGGAGACAACGGGAAGATTTCATGTCATGACCGGCTCAGAGAGAAGGCCCCCGTGCTGATGCGCACCTTCAGTGGGTACAGTGAGCGGGAATCATGGCCGAGTGTGCTAGAGTTTGCACGGAGACTCTGGTGTGGATTCCAGGATTTCCTAGTAATCAACTTCTAATCTTTTACTTTCTCCTCGTCTCCTTTATTCTGAAGCACATACCCTCCAGGTAACCAATCAGCTGTCCCCCTGTGCTAATAGTCACTTCCGGGTACCCAGAGAGTCATCTCAAACTCCCCAGGGACATGCTCATTTGAATGTCTGAGTTAACTCAACTTCAGGAAGCCTCATACCGATCCCACACGGTCCCCCCAGTTCATTTGCCTTTTGTCTTTCTCGTCTTCAGCAGTGGACAATATCCACCAATTCACCAGGGCTGCAAGATTTTAATCCTCCTATACCAGGGCGGACTCCAAGTCTTCTGTACTTTTTCTCAATAGCTTCTTAATCTTTTTCCGCTCAGCCCCTTCTCCCTTTCCTAATAGATTTTAATCGCTCTTACCCTGTGTCACCCCAGTCTCCATGCCACAAGCTAACACTTGACTAACATTATTTAATTGCCCTCTTAAAAATATTTAGTTGCCCTTATCTGCTCAAGTCCTTTGAGGTATCTTCAGAGATACGCTAGGCTGGTGCGTGTGTGCGTGCATGGTGTGTGAGTCATGCGTGCACGTGCTGTCCGTCCTGTAAATCCCAGTACTCATGGGGGTCAAGGGCTGAGACTAGCTTGTGCTACATAGCAAGTCCCAGGCCACCATGGGCTACGTAGTAAGTCTCACAAAGCCTGGACTACAGCAAGTCTTTTGAGACTCCGTTACTCTGCCCCCAACCTCATGTACCACAACAGCCTTCGCCTTTGTACCTCGGTCCCACCAAGTCCCATGCTTGGCTTACCTTGCATCAGTGGAATTCTACAGCTATTTTGTTGCTGTTTTGTCTAACACTGAGGCTTGAACCCAGGGCCTTGTGCGTGCCAGGAAACTAACTGTACTATCACGGGGCCCACCTCCATCCCATTTTTCTTTTAAATTTTATTAATTTAATTTGAGACACGGTCTATTCTAGTCTACCTGGCATTTAACTTAGGACCCTCTTCCTCCAGAGTGCTGAGATTGCAGGTATACACCACTATGCCTGGCTCACCCCCCAACACACCCCCTTTATCTTTCTCTCTTCTTTCCCCTCCTCTTATCCTCTTTTCCCCCCCAACAAAGTTTCCACTATCTAACACTATTCAGGAAGGATCTGAATGTCAGATCCTCCTGTCTCGGCCTCCTGAGTACCAAGAGTACAGGCGTACGGCACCAGGCCTGGCCTCCAGAGATGGCTTGATCAAGAGAAGACAAGTCTTGACTGGCATGCGCGCTACAGAGGCAGTATTTTGTTCTTCTTCAGGGAAGTGACTGAAAGTTTTAGTTCTGTTGTTAGTAGCAACCTCAAAGAAAGACCTGCTTAGTTCAAATGATTTATCAGTTCTCTCTTCCGTCTCCTGTCTCACGACAGTTCTAAGGACAATATCAACACTTTCTTGCTTAGCCTTTCGGTTGGGTGATGTCACTTGTGCCATAACAACTTGAAGACACCTAGGTTTTTTTTTTTTGTTTTTTGTTTTTTGTTTTGATAGAGTCTCACTGTGTAGCCGCAGTTGGTCTGGAACTTGATATCTAGACCACCACACTGGCCTTGAACTCACAGAGATCCTGCAGCCTCTGCCTGTGCCTCCTGAGTGCTGGGTTTAAAGGTACATGCCCCATGCCTGGATAGCATTGCCTTTTTTTTTTTTTTTTTTTTTTTTTTTTGGTTTTTCGAGACAGGGTTTCTCTGTGGCTTTGGAGCCTGTCCTGGCACTAGCTCTTGTAGACCAGGCTGGTCTCGAACTCACAGAGATCCGCCTGCCTCTGCCTCCCGAGTGCTGGGATTAAAGGAGCATTGCCTTTTTGATTTATTGATTTTTGTTCAATTGTTTGTTGAGTGTCTTGTCTTGAGCTTGCAACAGTTCTCTTTGCCTCAGTCTCCAAAGTGCTAGAATTACAGGTCTTAGCCACCACATCTGGCTCTTTATAGGGGCTGGAGAGATGGCTCAGTGGTTAAGAGCACTGACTGTTCTTCCAGAGGAACTCACAGAGATCCTCCTGCCTCTGCCTGCTGAGTGGGATTAAAGGTGTGTGCCACTATGGTTAGCAAAAATCTTTTCTTTTTATCATTTGTTGAGATCAGGTTTCTCTGTGTAGCCTGGAACTCACTCTGTACACCAGGCTGGCCCTGGGCTGGGCTCTGAGAGAGACTGTGAGTGTGTGTGTGTGTGTGTGTGTGTGTGTGTGTGTGTTAAGCTGTGTATTAAGCATGGTGGCTTGCACCCATAATCTCAGTACTTGGGAGACAGGTAGATGGCTATAGCGTTAGTGTTTAAGGCCAGCCTGGGCTACATAGTGAGTTCTAGGATAGCCTTACTTTATAGAGTAAGACTCTATCTCAAATAAAACCAAAACATTTAAGTTTCCCTGAGATGATAGATGTGTGGCCCTGATTGATCTAGAAGTCACCATGTAGACCAGGCTGGTCTTAAGTTCACAGAGATACATCTGTCCCTGCCTCCTTCTCCTGAGTGCTAGATTTAAAGATATACCCCCATATTCAACATGGTTTTTGTTGTTACTGTTGTTTTTGTCTTAAGGTAAGGCTGTCCTGGAACTTGCTCTGTAGACCAGGATGGCCACTAATTCAGAGACCCATCTGCCTCCTCCTCCCCAGTGCTGGGATTAAAGGTGTATGTCACCATCACCTGGATCCTAGAGGTTTTAAAATAAAATAACAAAAAGGTGGAGACTTAGGTACGGTGGCCTATGTTTATAACTCCACCAAGACTCTGTCTCAGAACAAGAGAAAAGCTTCAGAGTTTCCAGTGGTACTTACAACAGGTTCAAATCACTCACTGCGCCTTTCAAAGGTGTATGTGGTCTGACCTCTGCCCGCCTCAGAACTCATCCCATCCAACTTCAGCACTGCTGGCTGCCTGGTTGAGCCTTAAATGTAGGGCCCCTGTTTGTATGTATGTATGTATGTATGTATGTAATGCCCTTCTTTTCTCTTTTTCTTTTTAAAATGTCATCTGGCTGTCAGTTGTGACATCATCTCATAAAAGCTTCCTTGGAAACTCTACAAAATTCGTCCCCAAGTTGGAAGATTGGCTCAGAGACAGAGCAGGGTTTGGTAGGGTCGATCTATAATATCAAATAGAAACAAGAAGACAAAACAAGTGCCTCACTTGCCCTAAGAGCTCTTTGCGATGGTCCCTGATTTTGTGTGTGTGTGTGTGTGTGTGCGTGCGTGCGTGCGTGCGTGTCTGCCTGCCTGCCACAAACTCTCTACTTCTCTGCCTTGGTTGCTAGAGTACTGGCCTTACAGGAATGGCTGCCATGCCCCACATCATCTTGCCATTTATTTGCTTCATTTATCCAGCATGTATAAATCGGACACCTCAAAAGGGAGGCAGACCTTGCTCTCATGGGGCTTCTATTCTTGCTTCCTTGGCACCTTTTGCCCCGTCAACACAACACAGCCATTAGAAGAGCATAATAAGGTCCTTCATGAGAGGATGTTGGGAGCTCAACCTGAACAGATCTATGAAAGCAGGCAAGCTCGATTGGGTAGGTGAATCGGGTGCTTTAGGCTGGAGACATCCTTGATGTGACTCTGGGTGAGAGTGTGGGCCTAAGAGGAGCAAGAGAGCTGAGAGAGCATTTGAATAGAATCCAACCACCAGAAGCAGGGGGTAGAGCTGAGTGATACCAGAGGGCAAGGGGAGAGGGCTGCTATCAGAGAGATAGCTCCATTCGGCTAATAAAGATGTGGCCAGCAGAGGGGACCAAAGTGCAAAGAGAATTTTAACAGCCAGCTGTGCTAAAGATGGGAAGCTGTGCTAGGGAGATGTTTGTCTTTAACCCAGGAAGGTGATACACTGGGTTAACCATCCGAAAGTTCACCCAGTGGTCAGGCATCGTGGCACACACCTGGACTTGAGCGGCTGAGGGAGGAAGATTTCAAGTTCTAGAGTGGCCTGGGTTATGTAGTGAGTTCTAGGCTAGCCTGAAGTACAATCAGGATGTTGCTTCTAAATAAATAAACAAACAAACAAAAAGTAAAAAAAAATGAAAAAGAAAATTCTTTAAATGAGGGGAATTGGAAGATAGGGGAAAAATCTAGAATATTTGTCTCTCTCATTCCCTTGCCCCCCCTTTTTTTGGTTCTCATTTTTTCAAGACAATACTTTTCTGTGTAACCCTGGATGTTCTGAAACTTGCTCAGTAGAGCAGACTAGCTTCAAATTCAGAGATCCACTTGCTTCTGCCACTCTGGAGTGCTGGGACTAAAGGCGTGCACTACCATGCCTGGCTCTTCTTTCACCGTGAATAGATCTTAGTCTGCAGGAGACTAGGGCATCTACTCTGAAATGCTGACCTAGGCCCAGGATTGTTATCCTTAGCACAGACTGGGGGTCCTGGAAGGTGGGCCCAGGAGGAGCGGCCACGGAGGAAAGGGAGAGCAGCAGGGAGCTGGCAGGTGGAGGGACTGATCTGAGCCATCAGCGTGGACTGAGGTTGTCCATTGCACCCACTCTCACTAGTTATGACACTGCCCCGATAACCACCCACACAACCAGCTGTTCCCTTGGCTTCCACCTTCATCATGAGGTTTTCTCAGCCTGTGCTCCCAGAGGGGAAGGAGAACAACGCCTAGAACTTGCTCCCACCTCCCACCTAGTAGAGACTTCTTCATCTCGCTCACCTCAGACACTCAGCTCAGGACCCTAGAGCTCCTCCAAGACCTTCTACAGAACGATTAGGGTGTGTGAGCTGATGGACAGGTTCCCCCGTCCCCACCAAGCCCTTGCTACACCCTCCAGAGCAAACTGGTCCTTTCCCCTCCTTTCCTCTCTGTCCCATCCACTGTCCCAGGTCAGGCGACCCAGGTCCCTGGCCAAAGATCCAGCATTCTCACCATCAGGCCTCCTCCAATGAAGCCACCCATGAGCCAGACTTGCAAGCTGAGGTTGTCGGTCCAGGTGGTCTCTCCATTAGGTACCAGCAGGAGGGCATTGGCTATGATGCAGATCAGGGAGAGAGGGATGAGGGAGAGCCCCAGGCAGCGAGCACATTTTCCTGTACACATGGCAGTGGCTTCAGGAAAGGCAGACACGAGTGATAGTGAGCGGGAAGTGCCAGGGTCCAGAGCAAAATAGCCTGGAGCTTGGGACAAAGGTCGGGGGAGAGGAGTGGCGGAGCCTGGTAGAACCACAGTGATAAGAGAAGAGAGGCCTGGAGGAGGTGGAGGGGCTGCAGCTGGGTGAGCCGAGGAGGAGGATGTGGTGCTAGGGGACGTGGGAGCTTGTCACACAAAGGAAGTTGACTGGGGTCAGCGTCCTTCTTCCTTGGTCTGTACACACCTTTCCACAGCACTTCCTCAGCTATGTGAAGCCTGAGCTGAGCCCTCCACCTCTGGAGGTCCCAGTTGTTTCATTTGTAAAAAAACAAATGGTTGAGCAAAGCCACTGCCTTGAGAGGTGGTTGTAAGGGTTCCGTGGGACCAGGTAGAGGGTCTGTCACCAAGGAAGCATAGGACAGAGGTATGGTGGCTTCATTTCTGCCCCACAGGGAGAGACTTTTCTGTAAAGAAACTGAAAAGCCTACAGTGGAGCCAGGCCGTGGCGTCCGCCTGTGACTCAGTTACCCAGGAAGAACGTGCATGTGCGGTTGAGACTTACCTAGGTTATATTGCGAGGCTTTGTTTAAAAGAACAAGAGGGATGATAATGACTTCTAGTCTGTTTATTTCTTCTCAAAAAATTGTTTTGTCTTTTTTTTAAACACAGTTTCACTGTGTAGCCCTGGCTATCCTGGAACTCACTCTGTAGACCAGGCTGACCTCAAACACATGGAGATCTGCCTGCCTCCTCCTCCCGAGTGCTGGGATTAAAGGTGTGGGGCCACTGCCACTCAGCTCTCAAATTTTGCTTCTCAGAGTGGGCTCAAGCATTCCATCTCTGGCTTCAGTGATTCAGTGAGGAGCCAAAGGAGTTTCATTTGCTTCCCCTTTAATTTTAGTTTTATGTATATGAGTATTTTGCCTACATTTGTGAACCACTTGTGTGCCTGATGTCTGAAAAAGCCAGAAGAGAGCATTAGAGCCTCCAAGACTGAAGTTACAGGTGGTTGTGAGCTGCCCTGTGGGTGCTGTGGGTGCTGGGGATCCAACCTGGGTCCTCTGGAAGTGACCAGTGCTCTTTAACACTTTGCCATCTCTGAAGCTCTTTCTTTTTTTTTTTTTCATTTTTTTTCTTGTGTTTTTGAGACAGGGTCTCACAGTGTATTTCCCAGGTGTCCTGGAATTTGCTTTGTAGACCAGGCTGGTTTCAAACTCACAGATATCCTCCTGCCTCTGCCTCCCGAGTGCTGGGATTAAAGGTGTGCACCTGGATGCTCCGCTCCCATTCTCATTTGGTTTCACTCACGCACTGAGAACAAAGAAGTTCTGGTTTCGCTGAGGTGCTGAAGATGCTCAAGATCCTGGCAACCTGCCACCATGAGAGAAGGCCAGCCTGTTGGAAACTGCAATCCGGAGGGGATAACAAGGGATATAGAGAGAAGCCGTGATGACACTGTTGAAACCTGGACACACGGCCTCGTCAGAAGTCTGGTCGTCCCTGGACACACGGCCTCGTCAGAAGTCTGGTCGTCCCTGGACACACGGCCTCGTCAGAAGTCTGGTCGTCCCTGGACACACGGCCTCGTCAGAAGTCTGGTCGTCCCTGGACACACGGCCTCGTCAGAAGTCTGGTCGTCCCTGGACACACGGCCTCGTCAGAAGTCTGGTCGTCCCTGGACACACAGCCTCGTCAGAAGTCTGGTCGTCCCTGGACACACAGCCTCGTCAGAAGTCTGGTCGTCCCTGGACACACAGCCTCGTCAGAAGTCTGGTTGTCCCTGGACACACGGCCTCGTCAGAAGTCTGGTCATCCCTGGAATGCTTCAATGGTGTGAACTGGTTTGAGTTATGTTTCTGCCAGCTCTAATATAAGAAATCTATTTTTATCTTATTTTGGCTTTTTGAGACAAGGTTGCACTATGGGGATCAGACTGGCCTCAAACTCACTATCCTCCTGCCTCAGCATCATGAGGGTTGGGATTATAGGCAGGCACACTATTCCCAGTGAAGGAATCATTTTTTAAAAATTATTTTTATTTGATGTATGAGTGTTTTGCCTGCATGTATGTCTGCATCCGATGTTCAGGCAGTGTCAGAAGAAAGTGTCAGAGCCCCTGGAACTGGAATATCATAAGGCTCTTAGCAGCCATGTGAGTGCTGGGAATTGAACCCGGGTTCTCTAGAAGAGCAATCGGTGCTCTTAACTATTGAGTCATCTCCCCAGCCCCTGAAATCGTTTTGGCTGCGTAAATTCCTTAAGCCTGTACTTCCTTAGGACCTAGTGGTGGAGAGTGTATGGATTCACAGTTTCCGGGCGAAGACCCGGATCGTACCCTTGAAGCTTGGTAGCACTTGGTAGCAAGTGCTCTGTGTCAGAGAGAAATGAGGGTTACAGCAAACACCCTGGGTCCTCACAGAGCACCTGCCGACAGCACCCTAGGGTTCTCACAGAGCACCTGCCGACAGCACCCCAGGGAAGGAGGTGTCTAGTCGGGGGCCTCTGTTGAGTCTCCTGCCCAAATCACTACAGACACGTGGGGAATGGGGAGAAAGAGGTGCCAGTCAAAAATAAACGGCAGAATCCCTGCTCTCTGTGGGCCAGAGGGACTGGGCAGAGAACAGCAGTGAAGACTCTGTCTTGAAGGAGAGGATGCCTGGAAAAGCAAAGCACTTTGAACTTTCCCCATCTGTTCGAACTGTTTGCCTCTGACTCATAAATAATTGCACGGCCGCTGATATTTGCCATCGCTTCTGATGGCTCGTTTAATGCTTTCACAGGAGTGCCAGTGCGGAAGGCCAGAAGTAACAACGCTTGCTGATTTCAGCACCCAGGAGAGAGAGACCGGGATCCTACAAGCTTGAGGGCAATCTGAGCTACATGGTGAGTTCTTGGCCAGCCTGAGCTATGTGGTGAGCTCCCACACAGTTAGGGTTATGTAGTGAGATCTTGTCTCAAAGTAAACGCAAAACAAAACAAAATTTCCAAAGAGAAAGAGATGAGGGGGGAAGTGGATCAGTTTGAATGAAGTATAAAGACACGAATGTATGAAAATACCATCATTAAAACTATTACTTGCCGGGCGGTGATGGCACATGCCTTTAATCCCAGCACTTGGGAGGCAGAGGCAGGCAGATCTTTGTGAGTTCAAGGCCATCCTGGTCAAAAAGCACAGGACAAGCAGGGTGGTTACACAGAGAAACCCTGTCTTGAAAAGCAAACAAAACAAAACAAAACAAAAAAACCACACACACACAAAACCATTGCTTGTTATATCAACTTAAGTTTTTTTTTTTTTTTTTTTTTTTTTTTTTTTTTTTTGGTTTTTCGAGACAGGGTTTCTCTGTGGTTTTGGAGCCTGTCCTGGAACTAGCTCTTGTAGACCAGGCTGGTCTCGAACTCACAGAGATCCGCCTGCCTCTGCCTCCCAAGTGCTGGGATTAAAGGCGTGCGCCACCACTGCCCGGCCATTAAGTTTTTTAAAAAAATATATTTCCCTTTTCTTTAAAGTTTTTCATTCTCTTGTGCTTCTGGAGCACATTTTAAAGCTGAAGCAACAGTTGTTTTTAAACGCTGTGGATCACTCTTTAGTGTGTCGCTCTGTCTCTGAAAAACCTCAGACTGCCTGTCCCCTCTGCAGCCTCCTCGGAGGGCTCTATACAGATGCTCACCGTGCCTGGACTGCCTGTCCCCTCTGCAGCCTCCTCGGAGGGCTCTATACAGATGCTCACCATGCCTGGACTGCCTGTCCCCTCTGCAGCCTCCTCGGAGGGCTCTATACAGATGCTCACCATGCCTGGACTGCCTGTCCCCTCTGCAGCCTCCTCGGAGGGCTCTATACAGATGCTGAGCCTTGTGAGTTCGGAAAGAAGGGAACTACTCTAAATCTTCAGCCCTCCCTGTACCGATGCCCTTTCATCCGCCAGTTTGTAGTCCCCCCTGCTAGAAGAGAATACACCTTTACTCCATGGGCAAAATGGAATGTGGGCAGAACCAACAAGATCTCAGTACCAATACACATTAAACAAAAATAAATCTTAAACTTTTTTTAAAAAATGGAATACTCTATGGCTCCATGTTTCTCTATCATTGTCAGCAGAGGAACATTCTGGGCCAGCTACTGATCAAAAAAAAAAAAATGTGTAAGATTAAAGGAAAAATCTCTGGTTGAATGCCAATCTATATGTCACCCTCTAGCCAAGCCTTATATGTGTGAGAGAAATAAACACTTATATTTATATGTCATTAACACTAGGGGTTTTTGTTCCACTAAAAAATTCTTCTCTCTGTGTGTGTAAGAATGCAAGGTTGCCACTGCACACTTGTGGGGGTCGAATGACAGCCTCTGGTGACAGCCCTGATTGCTGGCCTTGCTTGAGGAGGCAGGGTTTCTTCACTGCATATACCAGGCCGGCTCGTCCCACGGACTTCTGAAGACTCCTGTCTTCACTTCCCACTTGCAACAGGAGCGCTGCGGTCACAGGGCACAAGCCACATCTGGCTTTTCTGTAAGTTCTGGGATTTGAACTCAGGTCCTGACACTTACACAGCAAGACTGTTACCCACTGAGCCATCTCTTCAGTCCAGGCTGTTTTTTTTTCTTTGTTTGGTTTTGTTTATTTTTGAGACATGGTCTCACATGGGGAGAAAGTGACCACTAATTTACTATGTAGCTAAGTACAGCCTTGAATTTTTTTTTATTTGTGTACATTGGTGTTTTGCCTGCGTGTCTGTATGAGGGTGTCAGATCCCCTGGAATGAAAGTAACAGTTGTGAGCTGCCCTGTGAGTGCTGGGAACTGAACCCTGGTCCTGTGGGAGAGCTGCCAGTGTTCTTCCCCATGGAGTCATCTCCAGCCCCGAATTCTTTTTTTTTAAACAAATAAAATGCTTTACATAGAACACATTTCCCATGTGAAGTTTGTTTCCTTTAAAGAACATTTAAAAAGCAAGTCTTGAAGAAAGTGTTCTTCATTTCCTTCCTGCAGAATCCTGCC